TTCTATGAACAAAAAAGCTTCATGAACACAAAAGGCAGTGATGATAAATAGTTATTGTTATCGTCAGGTTTATTGTTATCAAAATAGAACCACAAAATCTTGTGATAAAACTTATAGACCCCCTATTTTGGCCTCATCTAAACACACGTAGCATCCAGTATCTTTCAGAAGCATTCACGTTTATGTTTATCAAACAAATCATGACATGTTTAGGTGCAAACAGCCAGGAAGTAGTGTACTATAAGCCTGGCGGGTCACCAGGCTTTACTTTCGTCCCCACCAGGCTAGGCATTGGTAGTTTTATTCTAACATTTGGATTTTTTAAGACTGCAGGTCTCGTTAATAGTGTCTTCTGATGATACACAGACGGCTGCTGGATGACTAGCGCCCCTTTAACCAGGTTTAGCAAGTATTCTGGGGGAAACCCTGACAGGGTATGAAAGCTTGACTTTAGGACAAACGATGACTCAGGGGCGGTGAGGGGGCGTACCTGTCTGTCCCTGTGTTGCCAGTTGAGTGGAGTCCTCCTTCTCATGGTTCTCAGATTGAGCCGTTTCATTGTTTGGCCCTGGAGATTCAGTGTTGGGTGCAGCTGCGTCCCGGGAGGCGGCGGAATCGAACACGCATCTCTCCTCCGCAGGAAGCTGAGCGATAGCCGCTGTGGTACGAGTCCCATCGACACAGATTAATTCAAAACGTGTTTGACAAACTTAAACTAGTTGAGCGTATTCTTTCTTCTTTTTACCTTGTGAACCAGTGTCTTCTGTGGTCTCGCCGTCCTCCGCTTTGATTTTCTGCGTTGGGAGCTCGGTCGCATTTACGGAGCCCCCTTCTGCTTCCTTCTTCCCCTCTGCCATTCGTTTCTTTGCTTCCTGCTCCTCTCGCCTGATCTTCAAACGCTCCGCAGACACCTCTACAGATAAAATGGAGCAATTAGACTGAAACCTTGGCACCATTACAGTTTCAGTCCAAGACACCATTGGAATTGTTGAAAAATTGGCATTTTTTCTGCTGGGCAAATCAAATCCACGTTGGCGGTCGGAAACTGCAACTAGCACATCGTCGTTAGGAGCAAAATTATGTTTTGTTGATCCACTTTTTGGATTTCCATAATCTGTAATGTACGACAACTAATCTACTTTCCTCCTTTTAATCCTTACGTTTTTACACGGTGAAATTGTTGCAATGTCCATCTTATCTGAACACTGCGATTTGTTCACAATAGAATTAAATATTTAAAAACGACATGTTGTCATTTGCTCGCTTTCCATAAACACTGAAAAAGTAAAACTGCTGAAAACATGCGTTGTCAAATTTTAATTGATGCAGCTTTCAAGTTTTGAGAAAATTATTTTGAAAGTAACTACATCCTGTTGTTTCAGTATAATCTGCCTTTGAGGCATTAATAATGTTGTAATGTAATGTAGGGATAATATTATCATTATTAGTAAGAACAGAAATAGTGGTCTCAAGAGACTAGTGAGCACTAACTTTTTTTAAACTTTTTTTCAGCTGGGTTTAATTTTTACTGGATGTGCAGCTATTCATTGACGCAGACTGGCAGCTCTGTAATCCGGTCCCATTTTTCACAAGATAATCTATACTTTGAAAGTTATTTATTGTTCAAGATAAATCGCAATGAGCTAAAACGTGTATTTTTGGATCTTGGATTTGAGATCGGCCATGTGATCTGCGATTGGTGCAGCTCTGAGTAGGTATGAGTAAACCAAAAGTGAGCTATCCGTCTGAAAACTTTAGTGGATGATCATGTGCACGCTTCAAACAATGAAAGCCGCCCCGTTAAGTGTTCCTTTCAGGCAAAGGTGCCAAGAAATCACACAAAGGAAGTCTGGCTGAAAGAGAGAGAGATGACAGGGCAGCCAAACAGAAATGGAAACTGCTGTCTAAGAACTGAAAGGTCTTCAAACCACTGGAGCGTCTTGGAGGAAGGCCGAGTGGAAAACAGTTGCTCATTATGTCAGGGAGCTAAAAGGGCAACACCCAACTGTCAGCAGCGTCGAAAACATGTACCTGGACAAAATACTTCGGACCTCCTGTGGAGCACATAGATGCGTGCTTTCCCTAAAAGCTTAAGGCGTTTAGAGAAAGCAAATCAAACGTTTACTTAACGGTGCCGCGTGTTTTCTGAGGGCAGCAGGCGTACGGCGTACCGTTGACGGCAGTGAGGTAGGCCTTGTTGCTTCCACGAGCTCGGTTGGTGAGGTCCTCTGTGATGTCCATGTGAGCGTGCATTTCCTCCTTCATCTCTTCCAGGGTGGCGTGGAGGTCCGTCTCCCAGTACTCCTTGTCCAGACCTTCGATGAGCTCCTCCAGCTGCGCTTTGCTGCTATAGTACCAGATCTTTTTCTTCTCGCACTCCCCGTCTTCTTCACTGGGAAGAGACAACAGAGGATGTTAGGACGGGTCTAATCTGTAAAAATATTGGATATCGACCAAAAACATTAAATGTCAATGGATGTCTACTAGGGTTTACAAGTCTGTCGGGCCACCAGGCTTTACTTGCCTAGTATAAATTATATGGATTAAGTGACTTTGTTCAGGTGAATTTTGTAACGGTACAAACCTATAACAAGCTAATGTAGTGCTATATACATAATGCATAACAATTAGCTACAATTACCTACTTTCTAATTGTAGCTAGTCAACTTGCAGCTACATTATGATGAGTTTAGACATAGTTGCGCCGAAACTCATCACCACAGATTTTGTCTTGTTCTTCGCAGGGACGTGTTCAACTAAATCTATTTGATTCCAAACTTTGTTGGATAAAACAGCTGATAAAGAACAAGCACGGACAAACTGGTGTATAGCCCTGAAAGCCATGCATAGAAGGTCAAAGGTTTTGAGCAATCTGTCCCTTACTTTGAGAAGATTTATTCAAAACAATTGAGTAAACAATTCCATGTCTGGTGAACTGTTTTTCCTGTCCTTTTTACCATCAATTTTTGATCATAATCTCATTAGAAAGAAAATACAATATAGCAATGGCAACCTAATCTTCAAAAGCTTCCAACACATCCTCTTGTGTTTGAATGCTTTGCAGAAAATGTTGAGCTCTTGTAATGCCGCTGTATGTCTGAAAACCCTAAATACGGATTACCAGGGAACGTCACCAAAAACGTAAACAGTAATCGTAAGCCGAACAGGCAGTGATGGCCCCGACTCACATAACAATCCTTCGATTTAGGAACCAGTATTTCCTCTGGTGGCGATCATATCCGATGGGCTCCTGGCGGATGTAAGGCCTGTTTTTCTGTGCCTCGGTCACACAGTCTGTGACTCCGGGCACCTTGTGCGCCACGCAAACCTCACACTGCCATTCATCCTCTGGAACCTCTTCCAGCGGCGGTTTAACACACTCCAGGTGGTAGACGGCGGAACAAGTCTCGCAACACAGCAGGTCTCCCAGGCGGTGGCACACGCGGCAGTGGTCGTCGTACTGCATGCTGCCGTCAGACATTAGCTCCTCGCGGGCAATGTTAGTGGTGAGGAACTGGTCCACTAAGAACTGTAGCACCTTAACCTTGCTTTCGAGAGAACCGCAGGGATATTCGTCCGTCTCCAGGTAGGGCAGAACATGGTGGAACTCTCTGTCGCTTTCACAGTACGCCCGCAAAACCTCGGGCCAGGTCATGCCGTCTATAAAGTACAGAGTAGAGTTGACGCTGTCCTTCAGGTCAGCGGGGCCAAAAGTAGTGTTGGAGGAGTCTTCCTCGCGCAGGATGGCCTTCAGCAGGGAGATGTGCGTCTCTGCTATCAACGTGCACTGCTCCTGGCCGACCAGGGCGGCGCAGAAGTCCTCGAATCGGAACGGGGAGAGACGCAGGACCGAGCTGAAGTTCCGCAGCACCTCATAGATGGAGGTGATGTTGAGCAGCTCCACGCTGGGCACCAAGAGATCCTCTGAGGTCTCCGGAAGCTCAAGAGGAGGGATTTCCTTGTCTTCCAGAACGGGAGTGCGAGGACGGGGAGCCCCTATCTTCTTCTTCCCTGCAGGATTAAAAGAAAATAAATAAACAAATGAATAAAACCGATTACACTGACACATCAATGCAGAATAACGTAAGAAATGATTCAATAACGGCTTGAAACAAAGTACATGTAATCACTTAAATGCTTTTGAAGACATTGCAAACTCTACAAAGCTGGAAACTTCTACGAGAGCTACTATGGCTGAAGTTGCTCATCATTAGCTTAATGAGGCTGCCTCATCCTCACACCAACAATGTTAACGCTAATTAAACCTCTCTTTATAATGACGGGTTAACTATGAAGACATGAGGTGTAATTACTACCCAGAGTCGCCAACAAATAAAGTTCATTGTTCTGCCTAAGGAAAGCTGCCAAAGTATAAGAAAATGACAGACAGGCATGCTAGCTAGGCTACTGTTAGTTAGCTGTGTGTGTGTGTTTGTTTCCCTTACGGCTAATTAAACAAAAAATAATAATTAAAGTTCTTGTTTCAAGCAAATGTTTGAGAAGTGTGGGCTGCAAACATGAAGCGGGTTTTATTATTATTATTATTATTATTATTTTAGCAGCTGTCACACAGCAGGCAACAGCTACCTTCAGTGCTAGCATTAGCTTGTTATAAGCTAAGTTATTAGCTCCGGCTGTGACAGCTAAAGCTACAGAGCCCCTCGGATTCTTTTTGGAAACGAGTGTGAACTGCACGGCAACGTAAGGCGACGGGAACGGGTCGGGCTACTGACAGGGTTGATGCTTCAATCCACCTGCAGTGGCTTCGACGCGGCCTGTTTGCATACGGTGTGCATTCTCCATTTTGAACAATAACCTTACTGCTTCCTGCACTGTAACACAAGCTCCTCTTATTGCATGCTCCGACCCAGACCGGACCTTCGGCTCCGAGGGTCCGTTCAAGTGAGCAGGGATTTACCAGGAGTGCTGGCGTGAGTGCTCTGGCTCCGAAAGCTGCTCTCGGTGCAGAAGCTGGCATCATCCTGCTCCTCGTCCAGCACATCATCTTCCAGGCAGTCAGACTCCTCATTGAGGGCCTCGTCTTCCTCGGACTGAGGTGCCTCCTCTACAAACTCGTCCTCCTCCGACCGTAAGCTCACGGCATCGTCCTCCTCGTCGCTCTCGTGGTCGTCGTACACCACCGTTTTGGACACAGCAGTCCGCCTTCCGCCGCGGCCACCTCTGCCTCCTCTCCCTCCGCCGCCGCCTCTGCCTCGTCCCCTGCCCCGCGTTGACGTCGCCTTCCTCTTTCTGGCCGTTTTGGGGGGCTCCCTCGCCGGGCTTTCGGCGTCCTCATCCCCGCTGTCCCTGAACCTGGGCTTCAGGTTCCTCCTGGGTCGCAGACCCCGGGTTGCGGCCGGGGACGCCTCGTCGGTCTGTAGCGGCTTGGGCGGCCTGCCTCTTTTCCCTCTCATGATAGGCGAAGTCTGTTATTTTAGAAAGCCGAGGGTTTCCTTGCGTGCAAAAATGGCACACGCGATACGCGAGCGAAAAGACGGTGCCCCTGCGGAGCCGAACGAGCGGCGGACCCCAGAGACTGAGCAGCACCTCGAAGCCCCCCCCCCAGCTTTCGAACGCGAAAGCTCAAAACGTTAGCCCGGCGTCCCGTTCAGGTTCGCCTCGGGCCGCCATTTTTCTTCTCTGCCTCTCTGGCTGAACAAATAGCAGGGCCTCACTACAGGAGTCACGTGGGGGATACAGCCTCTCGCTCAGTGGCAACAATGTAGCAGCAACTAAAATAATCCTCACGTTGTTATGCACATCATCATCATCATCGTTGGTTTTGTGTAACGGCATGGAAAAAAATGAAAGAAAATAAAAATCAATTTAAAAAAAGGATCTCGGAAGCTGGATTACTGACGCCGGTTATAAAGCGTTTTCATGCAGGTGGCAGCAGAACTCCACAATTGTGCGCTATTGTGTAATTTTATAATGCATAATAAACACGAATGGTTCGGTGTAGACGTAAATAAATAAAATAAATAAACGTCACGATTTGCTTTCAGGTTGATTTATTTACATCGGAAACATATAACCAGTGTATACATTCATTTGAAGGCCAAAAATATTCATTAATAATGTTACTTCTCCCCCCCCTTCTTCTTAAAAGTCAATTTTGCAACAGTAACACGAAACAAGTGGATGTCTTTCGGTCATGATTCGTGTTGAATGAAAGTAGATAGTGAAATCCAGAATTGTAGCTCTCTTTTTTTAATTACTCTGCAAAAAAAAAAAGAAGAAGAAAAAAAAAGTTGAGGTTTCGATCTGTCCGAAGCAACTTAAACGTCCCTGTTTGCGGCAAACATGATCCTGAAAACAGATGTTCTCCTCATGTTCAGAAAAAACAAAACAAAAAAGGGCATGTTACATCCCTGCAGACCCCACACATCCTGGACACGAGGGGTTTAGACTTTTACCTACAGGTCGGCGCCACAGAGCGCCTTTTGTGAAAACTAAAAAACACCGCTTGGTAAATTCTGTGTTTTTTCTCTCTTTCCCTGCAGGTGTGCGTAGGTCCGGCTGCGCCTCCCAATCTCAGCTGTCGTGGGTCGAGACTCACCTGCTCAAGATCCGCTGCAGTGAAACTTACCCTTGTGATCCCTACTAATGTTCTGCTGCCCTGACAAATGACAGCACACTAAACCATCACTTCGACCCGACAGAGCAGGACAGTTTCTCTTTTTACGGACAAAGAAAGGAGGATTTTTGTGCATGAAAATCCCGATATGCCAAGAATTGTTTCTGACATACTGTAAGTGTAACATAGTTGAAATGGTTCAGATTAAATTCTGGGTTTCATAGTTGTCCTGTGGTGAGGGCTTTTTGGCGCCCCCTACTGGTTGCCTATAAAAGGAGGAGAAACTGCAAATTCCACACAGTCTGTTCAGCGCTCTACTGTGGTAGGTCATCAACTCCAGTTCTTTTCTGAACAGTAGTGGTGGTTGTGCACTGAGACTAATGTGGAGTTTTGTTGCAGTACCCAGAACTGGTGGACCAGTAGGGAGGCTCACTGTGCTGTTTGTTATTAACCAGTCATTACAGGTAATTATGTTACGTTAAATGTCAGAAATTTATGTTGTCCGTTATGTTTGTCAGTTTTTTTTCAGTTAAGTTTGTCAGTTTATTTATTATGTTGTCGGTTTGTCTGTCAGTTTGTTTGTTCCCTGTTTCAGTTAGAGGTTTGTTTATTAGTTAAATTTGACTGCTGTCTATGTTTATTTTTCAGATTTTTATTTATTCAAAAGAGAAAGATTGAATGAATTTCATTTGAAAGTTGTGCTATCAATCACTATACGATCACCTGTTACAAAAATGTGTTGTTGGGCCCGATTGTAGTGATTATTTGTAGGACACAGTCTGTTCAGCACTCTGCTGTGTACCCAGAACTGGTGGACCAGTAGGGAGGCTCACTGTGCTTTTTGTTGTTGACACTCATTACAGAAATTCAACCAACTAGTCTCCGCTGTGTGCTGTATGTGGGGGAAGAAGTCACATAAACTGACTAAGAAGAATGTGCAAGAGGCCAATTGAATGACTCGTTGATCAAAAGTGGAACTTTGTTTAATAAAAGTTAAGATACGAAATGCTAATTCATGATCATCACTTATCCAATGCAACTGCTTTGTGCGATTAAATACTTTACGTGGAGTGTGACGCAGAGAGTACTGTTTTTACGTGTTGTCGTGGCCGAGTGGTTAAGGCGATGGACTAGAAATCCATTGGGGTCTCCCCGCGCAGGTTCGAATCCTGCCGACAACGACTTGTTTTCTCTTGCTGTTGGTTTTTGAAAAAAAATATTCATGCTGCCGTTACGTTACTTTTTAACTTAAAGGAACACACTGCATCGCACGCGTTATTTTTATTTTTGCGCCGATTAATTTCCGTGTTCGAGATCAAACATGAGAGAATGAACCTCGTCGGTCGCTGTCCGTTTCGTGACACACACACGACGAAGCGGCGCCTTCAAAATGCGTCACGTTTCGCTGCGACATAAAACAGCCTGCGCAGCCCCGACGGGATCCAAGGAGCTTCTATCTCAAGTTCCGAAAATTCCGAACAAGTTCTAACAGTTTACGTCAGGATACGTAAGGCGGTCACGTGACTCAACAGGAAACAGCAGCGCCAGCAAAAGAGAGAGAGAGAGAGAAAAAAAAGGCGACAATCGGCTGGCACCAGCACCGATCATTTATGCTCCATATCTGATCTTTGTGCAATGAAATAGCAATAATATTGTAATAAATAAATAAACAATCCTAAAATTTCTAATTGAAAAATTCTGCCTTAAATATAGCCAAACAGAAAGCAATCAACACTCTTATGCCTAATGATTAATGAATAAAAAAATTGCAGTTACGCAGAAAAGTCAGGAGGTGGCAGTACAATACTAAAAAAAGAAAAAATCACTGAACAGAGATGAAGAGATCATTGTGTTTTGGATGAGGAAACTTTAATTTCAGAAGTTCTAAAAATTTGCATTTGGCTTTAAAAAAAAAATACAGGAAGTGAACTGCGTTGAATATTCAATTCGTATTTAAATGTCTTTTCCCTCCTGACTGTGAAGCTTGTTTGGGACCTTTTAGCAGGCGCAAATGGCCACAATGGATCCAATGTTTGCAGAACACACGCAATTTGCATAAAGATTGATTTCGTAAGATCAAGAGCAGCGCTGCAGTGTTTTCACTGCTTGAGCCGGAAAATAATGCGCGTCCTAAATGGAGCTTTTGTGCTGAGCACAGCAGGCCTCATGTCAGTCCAAACACAGTCAGTCGAAGCTCATCACCTGTACCTGCGGGACTGACGGGGAGTGGCGTGGAAAGACTCAACCTTTGCGTGCCAGATAAATGCGTATGCACTCATGCAGCTCAAGCAAGGTGATCTGATAACTTTAATGCATATCAAACACCTCCACCTCTACAGAGATGTCTATTGTTTGCATGGATGATCGTTGCGGGATTTAAGTTCACCTCCCGCGCCCCACTTACCCCTGTTTCGGCTGCATTCTACCCATGTGTTATAATTGACAGCAGTGTGGCAAGAAACAGACCAGGGAGCAAATTTTAACATCCTCTTGTGGGAATTTTTTTGTGTTTCTTTGCATGCTCATTTTTTTTTTTCCAGTGTTCCATCATTTGCTTCGGGTCATGACTCATAGCCTTTCCTCCTTTTTCCTGATGGTTAGTGCTAATCTGACTTTGGGAATGGGAAAACCATTGCCAGTCAGCTCCAAGAGGATCAGGGTGTGGTGAGAGCGACAGTTGCTTACCAATGAAAATCTGACAAGTGTGACGTGCTTTTGAGATTAGATCCTCAGAGTCGATGCTTTGTCAAGCCAACTTTCGCGACACGTCCTTTGGGTTATGGTTCTGAAACACCAATGTCAAATCCCTTGCAGTCTAGAGTATTTCCCTTCCATTGGCCTATTTGCAGCCTGAGCCACCTCCCCTCTCCTGAAAAAGCACAGTATGACGTTGCCACCACGTTTCACAGTGGGAGCGCAGTGTGGTCGAGGTGTTTTGCATGTGGGTCAAACAGTTCCGTCATGGTTTCATCTGACCAGGACTTCTCGTGACTTTCTTTGCACCTCTGTTGCATGGAAGTCAGATTTGAGGGAATTAACAGTTGTGTGGTTGACCAATTCTTCCACCTGAGCTGAGTATCGCTGCAGCTCTCTCACAGACTTACCATGGGTTCCTCTGCTGCTCGGATCAATGCCTGGAGTTTCCCTATTGTTGGACCGCCATGATTGCGGTTGTGCCGCTTACAGACAATGAACTGAGCTGTCTTCTCTGAGACGTTTCAAGTTTGGGGAATAGTTTTTGATCCAAGAAGTTCCATCTCTTTTTCAAGTGACCATGAATATCACCTAACCACTAGGGTTCCTTGGTATTGATGATGGCATTTGTTCTCAAAGGCTACGTTCACACAGAAGGCACACAATACATGTATTTGACTTTCTGAGGTCAGTCTGAACGGCCCAACTTTGACTTTCTCACCTTTGCAAACCATTCGAACGCTGCGTCTGGTTGTGGTCGCATCATTCAGTGGTTTGAACACAAAGAAAAACAAAAAAAATTGAGCTGTATAAATGTATCCTCGCAAACCTTCAAAGAATGCTTGTACCGATATCGAATTAAAACTCAAGGACTGCTCACTAATTTTGCAATTGTGTTTCTAAACAATTTCTTGTTTAGAAATTGTTTAGAAAATCATATTTGTTTTCTTCTTCTTCTTCTTCACATTTGGACATTAGTTTGTGTCGATCCCTACATAAAACCCCAGTGGACGACACCGAGTTGTGTTGCAGCGTGGGGTGTTTGTGTGAAACATTCAAAGGTGTGGCTTTTAAAATGACAAAAAAAAAAGGCTTCATTTCTAGCTCAAGGTACATAAAAAATCTCACATGGAAACCGCTGGTTTTGAAAAAATAAAAGTCAGATAACCGTGGCACAAACGTGCGCCGGCTCACACAGTGATAATAATCGTCTAAACTTGCAAATCCTCAAATCATCTTAACTTGCCACTGAATGGAGGGCAGGGGGGGTTAAAGCCTCCTCTCCTCTCCTCCAGCAGGCACCATATGGCAGCTTCCTCAGACTTCAGAGGCAACCCCCCTCCCCCCCTACCCCACCCCTTCGCTCCGTCCCTGGGGCAGAAATGCTACTTCAGCCTCAGACTTTTTTAGTAAAGGCATCTTTGCGTTTCATCATTTCACACACACGCCGGCGGGCACAGAAGTCGGCTTTCATCTCGGTCGCACGGGCCGCCGCGGTGTGAACGACTTGGTCCGTTTGGTTGTCAAAGAGATGAATGGAGGCAGTCAGACCCGCAGCGCCTCCAGTGATTCCAGTCGCGAGGCCTGCAAAGAGCGCGGCGGCTCCGACGTTGACAGGATCTGACCTCCCGAGTGCCGATTATGAAGAGAAGGAGAGAAGAAGAAGAGAGAAAAAAAAACAACAACCAAAACGTGACGCATGCGGCGCATCAGACTGGGTGGGTTTTGGTGCTTTCTTGCAGGGTTGCAGCGACATGCAGCGTGCAGAGCGATGCGACCTTCTAACTTAAAAAAAAAAAAAAAAAAAAAAAAAAAAAAATCAGTTTCCTCTTTTAGATCGGCTGTTGAATCATCTCTGTCTCAGGATCAGCAGGCACAAGAAGAACCCGTAGCCCGATTCTTGCACCAATTTTATTTTATTTTTATAGGAAAAGTACAAGCCCTACCGCGACGTATGAAATTGTTCAGTGATGCATACCGCAACACCCGAAGTATGACTGGGGCTTGAGTGCATCAACATCCTGCACTGACTTTCTGGGAAAATCCCCTGGTTTGTCAAAGCCTGCCGAGGTATCGATCCTTCAGGGTTCAGTTTAAAAACAAGAAGCTGATCTTGAGAGTGAACCCCAAAACAGCCAATGGAATTGCAAAGAGGCGTTTTTCTACCAGTTTCGCTAAAGTAGGAGGGGGAGGGGGGGAAAGTGGGGTTGTGCCTCAAATCAATCGACGTTGGGAGGTTCTTAAAGAGACAGAGGCTAATTTCAAAGAGTCAGATATAAGTCCATATCGCAAGTCGAATTTCTTTGAAGTTTTTTTTTTTTTTTTGGGACATGCAGTAACAATTGAAGTTACTCGTTTGCGCTATAAAATGGCAACATGTGCATATATGTACTTCAATCAGTCAAGATTATATACCGTCAAGCAGCAGACTGCAGGCTGGCTGAGGCAGATGGTTAGCTTAATGTCAATGCATACTATGCATTGACATTATATATCATAATTTTCATTATGATATATAATGAAAATTATGGACTGTCTATTAAAAATAAATAAATAAATGCACAGAAAAATGAGAGGCAATACAATTAAAAAGTCTCAACTATTTCAGAAATTGTTCATTCTTGTACTTCGGTGAAGTCGCTGCTTCCAGAACCAGAATTCTTCATGCTGTAGCTAAATTCTAAGATAATACAATCTAAAAATTTCGACTTTTTAATCTGACAAAGTGGCAGGAGAAAAAAAACAAAAGGTTTTGGTGGCTTTTTGCTAAACGAGTCGCGGTGCAGAATTTATTTTGACTTTTAGGAACAGGAAATTTTATTGGTTAAAAAAATAAATAAATAAAAGACAACTTTTTTAATAATTGCATTTTATTAATTGAAAACAAAAAAATGCAAAAAATGCAAAAAAAAAAAAGCAAAAACAGTGTCATGATGCAAGACAAGGAGAAAGAGACAACAGTTCCTTGATGATGAGGGCAACAATGATGTAGGAGGACAGGAGGCTGAGTTTTTTTTTTCTTTTCCTTTTTTAAAATCAGATGGGACATCTCGGATTATTTACATTTATCATCAATCCAGAGCAGAGGTGGTGGTGGTGGGGGGTTCTGGTTGGGGGGCTCATAGTAGCAGATCAGAGACACAAACACCAGAGAGAAAGGCACTATCCAGAGAGAACGAGAAACGGAAACGAAAATAGGGTGAACACAAAACAGTAAACCAAAATGCACACTGGGACGGACGGAAAAAAAATAAAATAAAAAAAAAATAAAAGTAGAATGTTTGGGGGAAGAAAAAAAGAAAGAAAGAAAGAAAAAAA